ACCTTTTATTTATTTATTTATTTATTTATTCTTTTTTTCTATTTATAGATTCTTTTGTTGTTGTTTGGCTCGAGTCATTGTTTTATAGGTCGGTGACCTTTGATGACTCTCACTTTTCGTGAATAAACTTCATTCATTCATTCAACAAAATACAGAGTAATTTTATTTATTTCCGTTTCACATGCAGAAAATCGTCCTCTATATCATAAGTATGCTCATGTTTTCTATGTAACTCTATACGTTTTATGGTACAGCACATTAGAAAATAGTATTCCATACAACGGACAGTGATAACATCTATGAAATAGAAATTCTTAAAAGAAAAGAAAAAAACGAGTATTGATATATTTTCTCACTAAAGGGTACAAACCAATGAGAAAAGATCATAAGCTAGCGACAGACGTAGTCAACCTTTCAATTGCAGACCGATTTCTCTGTTTTCATTGATAGATTTTTCTACGAACTGGATTTCAAAAAATCGATCAATCAAATTTGTTCTTTTCCTTTTTTATATTTGTAACGGCGGCCATTTTTGACGGGAAAAATTGACGGCTAGCGGGAAACAACCTATTACGACTTATATTGTGACACTGTAAAAAAATCGCACGTTTAAACCGCGCTAACCTGGCGGTTTAAATGTCAAAACCTGACCTTTTATCCGTCCTAACTTCACACTTTTTCCAACCTGACGGTTACTACAACAACGTCAGGTTGGAACGTTTCGAACTTCTGTATGATTTTGTATTGGGGGATGAAATAGCCAGTGGACAGGGTTTGAGTTTGAAAAGGCGCACTCTGCTAAAGAATGACTGAAGGAAGGTTCAAAATAAATACATTTTACATTTCACAGCGATGCTATCTTTCCTATAATAATGTATTTAGCTCAGAAACGACGAATTTCTTGAAAAAAACTGAGAACGACAAAGAGTTTCTAATTAAAATTTCTGTTTAATCTAAAATATTAAATACTTATCTAATTATTGAAAAGTATTTCCTGTAATATTTGTTTATTTTTTTCTTGTTCCACTGTTTTCTTTATGAATGAAAACAGTGAATATAAAAGTGTGAATATAAAAGTTATATTCACAACATTAACGTTGTTGTAATAAAAATAAAGAAGTTTATACTCTGATTTGTTTGTCAATCGGGACTTGCAAAAATATATGTGTAACCCTTAAAATCATGTCTGAACTCGTTATAAAAGAACCAGCGGTTTCCGCACATTTTACCTTAGGTTATTCTTTGCCATATGTCATCTAAGGATCGGCGATTTGACAGATTGCTATTCTTTCTAGGGTGCCGCGAACTAATCCGAGTGTAACAAAAGGTGCAAAACGATTATTTCTACTTGACGATTAAGGTGATAGATTCCTCTGTTTTGCATCTAATTTATTTGAACATTTCGAAAAAAGCTAATTTGATATTTAGTTTGTGATAAATCTCACGGTTAAACCATCAGGTTGGAACGGTTAAAGCGCGCGGTTTTTTTACCGTGTAGGCCACGTTCACACTACAAATTTTTCAGAGTTAAGTCGAGGTTAAGTTCGAGAACGCTCAGATCTAAATCTTTCAGAGATCACTAAGATTTTGACATTTTATCTCTAAAGTTATGCTGCTGGTTGGCTGCAATCTTCTCAAACGTTGCTGCTTGTCAACAGCCGACATGTTTGAATTTACCTTCTGCAGTTGCCATTCTCAGTTCAAACAGAAAAATTGAGTAGAGAGTCCGATGTCTCAAGAATATATTGAAATGACGAATTTGTATCGACTCATTGAAACGAGAAAATTGAGTTTTTCTAAGAGGACGTTGAAATATACCTCGTTTTTCCTTCCAAAATTTTTCTAAGAAAGAGACTACGTAGAACAAAACTTTTTGCGCCATTAGATAGTGGTGTTTCAACACATTCAAATCACAAAGGACACTCGATTTTTTACCAAATGTTCACCTGTATGCCCACTATGCTCTGGTCCATAGTGAGATGATTATTAACAAGATGGCGACTCATCGCCATGTCGCTTTAACGGCGATCTATTTGTGATCATCAAATGACTGACTTCCACTCGGTCGTTGTTCTCGCAATACAGAATCCATGAAGAGAAAGGCAAACTATCTTACCCATAGCGTGTCCCTCACAACAAGAATGCAAATAGTCGTAGAATGGGCTGTGTTCAAAAGGGTACTTTTCGTCGTATTTTATCTGGTTCGTGCCGAACGGAAAAAACTTCTTATTGAACATGATGACAGAGCAAAGTCTTTTCAATACGAGTAGGCTGATAAAAAACACTTTACTCTTATATATGTGAGGCAAACATACACAAAAACCAATTGAGAAGCAGCAAAAAAGGCTTGTCAGCGTAACTCCGTTGCAGCCAAAATGCGAAAACTTTCAAAGTGTGGAAATTTTGAAATAAACAAGAAAATCATCAGCAGTCTGTAGACAAACACATATTTTAATAAAGAAAAAGTTCATTGTAATGTAAATCTAAAATCTAAATAGATGAGATACTTCTAAATGCGATAGTTATAATCGCCAAAAGCTCTAGAATATGAGTGCTCTAATCAGGGTTTCCGATTGTTCTCAGGGATGAGAGGGGCTAAAAAATTTCTTCGCAGAAAGTGGCTGGCGAAAAAAAGGTTTCTAAACTTTTAGCAGAAAGTTGCTTGTGAAAAAACGTCAAAGATTTTGCCGGAAAGGCCAAAAATGTTTTTAGGGAGGGATCAGCCCCCCCCCCGGGCGGTAAGCCTCGTTATGCCATGGTTAACTCCATTTTCATCGTTAGTTGTAAACGCCCATTTCTGAGTTATAAACCGGGAGGCTGGGCTAGAGTAAAAAGAGTTGATTCCTTAAAGTCCTTGAAAGTTTTCACAAAAGCCACGAATATTATCGTTGTAATGATGTCTGTGGCCTATGTGGAAGCCTGTGGCTATTACCAGATATCTTTTTTTCCTTTTAGGTGTTGTTTGCAAGAATGTTCTCAATTACAAAGCTAAGCTGTCATCAAATTAGACCCGTATTTATTCGTAGTTGCACAACATTGTCAACTTTTAAGATATGTGAAACGTACTTACGTTTATAGGTGGATATAGTTTATGCTTTCTGCTTTTTCAGGCGGCTGATATTACTGTGACCAATACCAAGGAACCAGTGAGCAGACCAGATCCTGATAAACTCGTGTTCGGGCATCATTTTTCTGATCATATGTTAACAATCAAACATACGACAACAAAAGGTTGGGATAAACCGGTGATTGAACCCATCCGTGACTTATCTATACATCCAGCTGCTAAAGTGTTACATTATGCAACTGAAGTGCGTGAGTGCTTTTAATAATCATTACCATTTAGTTATTTTTTCTTACGTCTTTCGCAGATATTCGAAGGAATGAAAGCATATCGTGGAATCGATGACAAAATACGTTTATTTCGTCCAGATTTAAATATGAAACGAATGTTATCGTCAGCTGAACGAAGTGTATTACCTGTAAGTTGATGTGTCCCATGAAAAGATAGAATTTTGAAAAAGA